ACACACACACACACACACACACACACACACACACACACACACACACGCACGTCCCACTGGCATGTTAATTTCTCCATCTCCAAAATGGAATCAAAATGAAGCAGGTAACTAATTACTATCAACTGCCTTATATCTGCTTGTCTCTCCTTCCTGACAGAAATACAAAACTTGTGAAGTAATAATTTAAAATAATAAACTTATTAATCCATTGGAAATTCTTGTTGCTCTTTGGAGGAATTTAATGAGACAAGGTAGAGCTTAAAAAATGATCCAAAGCTTGATTCTACCATGACTGACCCATGTTGGCTCCCCTTTTCTTATTCTGTCACTTGACCTGTAAAATGTTATATTGTGTGCTTGAAAATATTATTATATTATACATATTACCATATTATAATGGGTAATATATTTAATTTAAATATTAAAATATTTACTAAAAACTTTGTAGAAGTCTGTTATGGTAAAATACACAACTTTATATAGAAAAATTCCTGAACAGGGATGGAAAATGGTTCAGTGTAGAGTGCTTGCTTTGCATGCATGAGGCCCTGAGTTCCATTCCTCAGCACTACATAAGTAGAAAAGGCTGGAAGTGGCACTGTAGCTCAGGTAGTAGAATGCTAGCCTTGAGCTGAAAAGCTGAGGGACAGCGCCCAGGCCCAGAGTTTGGGCCCCACAACTGACCAAAAAGAAAAAAAGTCCTGAAGACAAAAACTATTCAGCCATTATTATTTTACCTATGCACTTAATGCAAGGATCTCAATAACTGACCTTACAATATCAGAAGCAACTACTTGTTCAGCAGGCTTGGTAATAAAAGCTGACTTTTCTAAAGTTGTCCCACTTATACATTATATGAAAGGTAAACAGAAGGTCTTTCCCAATAGCCCTCCTCTATAAACTCCAAGTAATTAAGAAATACATCACCTGTTCTGTGAGAAACAATAAGGACCACCAGGATGACAATGATATAAGCTAAATCTGAAGGAAGAGGCAGGTACAGAAGCTTCTAAAGTAAGCAGAGAATCATTCAAGAAGGAAAGCCAATTAAAGTATATACCCACACAATGCTCATGATAACATATTTTATACTAATGACAAAGTAGAAACAATTCAGTACCTGTCAGCTGATAGACATTAAAGCAAAATGTAGTATTGCCACATAATGGAAAATTATTCAGCCATTAGAAATAAAGTACTGGTATATGCCATAGAATAAATAAAGCTTGAAAATACAATACTAAGTGAAAGAAGCCAGACACAGAAAACCATATATTGTTATGATTCCACTTACAAAATGGAGAGTGAGTGCTAATGGGTTAAGAGATCCTTTTGGACTGATGAAGTTATTTAGAATTAGTGTGATGGCTCCTCAACCCTGTAAACACACCCAGTGAATTGTATACTTTACCTAAAGGGTGAGTTTTATAATATGTGAATGAAATCTCAGTAAAAGAAATGTAAACGCTAATTTTCAATTTTCATTACAAAATAAAAGATAAAATATTATTGGAGTAGAGAGTAATGCAAACAGTGGTCACCTGTAGATAAGCAAGAGCACATAACCACTTGTGGAGCAAAACAAATACGACACATAATGACTACCTATGGGCTTGGAGAAGGAGGACATTCCTAGAGGTCCACAGTGACATCTAGGAAGACCACCATGCTCAGTGGGATACAACAAGCTGTAGTAAGACCAGCTTAGGAATAGGATAGTCTGTGGACTTTGCAGAACTGTAAACAATTCAGGGACTCTCCCAATATGTTGGATGTTTATAGGATGTGGAACTAAAATACAGATCTGTCCATGTGGGCCTCCCCACCAAAGGAAGTACCCCATTCCTATAACTCGCCACTTCTTTGTCACCAGCATCTATGCCTCTAAAACAAAGGTTACACACCATTTTGTTAAGTAAGTTTTACAAACACAACACGTTTATATTTCAATGCATACCATAAATTAATTTGCACATTAAGAGTAAGAAAGTAATGAAGCTTGCAAGTACCATCTGTAGTGATCTTAAAGAAATTAGCACTGCATGTATCCGTTTCAGTATTTAAATAAACACACTTAATCATAATTTTCTCAGATTTTACTAAGATAGATAATTAAAATATGCAAATTCAAAGTTACTATTTTAAAGTGGGAAGATCATGTGCTCTTTCAATTGCTCAAAAATAGTATTTTATTGCTTGGTGGTAATGGTGTTTGAGCTTGGAGATTTGCACCTGCTACTCAGATGCTCTACCACTTGAGCCATGCCTCTAGTCCTTTCTTCTCTGGTTAGTTTTGAGATAGTCTTACTTTCTGCCAAGGATAGCCAGGACTGAAATTTTCCTATTTATGCTTCCTGCCATAGCTGGGATGAGAAGTGTATACCACCATGCTGAACTTTATCTATTGAGATGCAGTTTCATGGCCTTTTCTTTCCTTGGCTGATCTGGCACTTGAGCCACCAGTGTCTAGTGAAAATAGTATTTTTTAAACTTCATTTCAAAAGTGGAGTGATGGTTTAACACTACTTTTAACAATAACATATTTAATTTAGATGTTATACATCATGCCTTATAAAGGGCATGTTGGCATTCCTAAAGTGCTAATAAAATTCAGTACTGCTAGCCTATTTATGACTGAGTCGTTAGAGAAGGAAGGAACTATCTAGGACTTTGCCTTCTTACTTTTTTGTCAGTTGTGGGGCTTGAACTCTGGGCATGGACAATGTCCCTGAGCTATTCAGTTCAAGACAAGTGCTCTACACTTAAGCTACCGTGCCACTTCCGGTTAATAGGAGATAAGAGTCTCACAGACTTTCCTGCCCAGGCTGGCTTTGAATCATGATCCTCAAATCTCAACCTCCTGAGTAGCTAGGATTGCAGGGGTGAGCCACCAGTGCCCAGCTTGCCTCCTTATTCTTAATCACCATTAGAATCTTTCAAGGAGGATATGGCTGAGTTCTATCACTCTATAAAAGAAAAGAAGCCTCAAAGCATACTTCTGATCTAGAAAGTGATTAGTGAGAGATTTCTGGGATCAGAATTCTGAAGCTTTTCACTAATTTTTATTATTATTAAGGGCTTCTTGTCTTTCACTCAGAGTTCTGCTTATATTAGAAAATGACACCAGCTTTATTCTTCATCTATTTTAATGAGTTGTTTGTAATTCATCTTCATGAGGTAACACACTTCCAGAAAGCAAGACTACCATCTTATTAATATCCTGGAAGCTTCGATCACAATGATTTAAATTTAGGGGACCTTTAAAAATATGAGCCTTGACTTATCAGATGCTCTTGTCAAGCTACCTTGATCACCCATATCAGGTCACTTTTCAGTGAGAACACAATGGCTTTCCTTCCTACTTAAAACTGAAGCCCATATTATGGTCAACATGGTCCTTTCTGACTGATGGTAGCCTCTCATTATCACCACTCTCTCAGATCTCTGTTCCTCTCTCAGACTGCTCCAGCCTGGTTGCTGTTTTCACAACATGCTAAACCTGCTCATGCCTCAGGACCTTTGCAATCAAGAGTCTCAGTTTTAAATGTTCTTTCATCAGATATCCTATAGAGCCAGCTACTCCGGTAAAAGGATATCATTTTATGAACTAATACCACATACTGCCTTACTCTTTACTATCCCTGTCTCTCCTGACTCTGTGCTTTGCTTTCACAGCACTCAGTAAGATCTAATACCATGAGTCTACAGCTGTGACACTTATTTGTTCTGTGCTATGTTCCCAACTTCCTCAGCATCTATGATAATGAGGAGCTTCTTGCAGGCTCCCCCACATTTACTCAGTGACTGAAGGTTTATGACTTCAATGTAAATATGATCTTCCACAAGTCATCAAACATTTTCCTTTTTCTGATTCTTCTATAACAAGCTTTTCTGTAGTTTGAGAAAACAATTTAAAATCAAAGCTACAATTTTTAAAAAGTGAATGCTTGAGGAAACCTGGAAGGTAGCTTAACAGATACTGAATCAAGAATAATCAGAGTTTGGACTGGGAAGGTGGCTCAGTGGTAGAGAGCTTGCCTTGTATGCCGGAGGCCCTGAGTTCAATTCCTCAGCACCACATAAGCAGAAAAAAAAAAGCCAGATGTGGCAATGTGGCTCAAGTGGTAGAGCGCTAGCCTTGAGCTGAAGAGCTGAGGGACAGCACCCAGGCCCAAAGTTCAGGCCCCAGGGCAAAACAAAACAAACAAAAAAAACTACATTTCTTCTGGGCTATAAATAATAAATAAAATCATCATGAATCCTGGTGTATTTTGAAGGAAAGACAGGGATGGTACACAGGGATGACAAGTGTGACAGCCACACCTATGAAGTTTTATTTTATCAGCTTTATCCAGCCCTTCTCCTCCCTACCTGTGAGAACGGAGCCCAGGGGAGCACACATAGGCAGCAGCACAGCATGAACAGCTCAGGTGAGCCTGCTTATAGTACATCAACTTGCCCTATTATTTTCAACTATTTATAAACCTCTGAAGTGGGTTGTGATTTTCTATACTACATAAATTCAAACATACAAAATTTGAGTGGTATATAGGTTTTTCAGAACTAAGTCAATGCCAAGAAGTCTAGTCATATCTAATAAATTAGATGCATTTGCAATTTTCATCATGACCTCTTGTCATAAAAATAAAAGCCATTTCTTGAAAGACAAAGAATGAAAAATTACCTGCAGCATTAAGACTACTGTTTTCACCACATTCCACTGAGATTTTCTGCCGTCCACAATCACAGTAAATCCTCTAGCCTTACACTTTTCACTGAAATAAGACAAAGTTAAAATATATTAAAATAAGCTATAGATTTTAGTCCTTGGAATACATGGAATAAAATTCACTTCACTTGCTTTGTTTTACATTATCGATAAAACTCCTCATATGATTCTTTCTGAAGCAACTTATTTTCATCATTTCAGAAAATAATAATCCACAAACTAATACGAAAGGAAAGTACTCTAAAAGCATGGACAGTTAATGTCCTAAACTGTGATAAATTCAGGCTAGACACAAATATCTCACATCTATAATCCAGCAGATAAAATAAGATAGATTTATAGGTCAGCCCATGGAAGAAGTTAGCAAGATTCCACCTCAAACAATAAAAAAGCTGGGTGTGGTAGTATACCTGTCTAATTACACAGGAAGCATAAATACAAGGATAGTAGTTCAGATCCAGACATAAATTTAAGTATACTGGAAAAATAACTAAAATAAGAAGGGTTATAGCTCATGTAGCTATGACCTTGGAGCAAGGCTCTGAATTCAAACCAGAATACCACCAATAAATAAATAAATAAATAAGGTGACGAATGCTCTGTTAGCTCAAACCTGTAATTCTATAATACTAGCTATTCACGATGCTGAGATCTAAGGATCACAGTTTAAAGCAAACCCAGGCTGGGAAGTCCATGAGACTCTTATCTCCAATTAATGACTTAAAACCAGAAGTAGAGCTGTGACTCACATAAGAAAGCTTAGGAAAGTTCTGGCTTGAGTAAAATAGCTCAGCAACAGCACACAGGCCTTGAGTTTAAGCACGCATGAGTACCCGCACACATGTATGCACGCACACGTGCTCGCTCTCTGTCTCTCTCTCTGACACACACACACACACACACACACACACACACACACACACACACACACACACACACAC